GCAGCGCCGCGGCGGCATGAGTGAGGGTGTGGGTGTGGGAAGGCATGGTTTTAAAAAAGGAAAAGAAAAAACTCGCCTCACAGAAGCGCTGCGACGGTGCTCTCGCCTCCCTCTCCATCGCGCTTCCGCTTCGTCGGCCGACATCTCCTCCACGCCAGAGCACGGCAACCCGTCTTCCTCCCTATCCACCGCGCCTCTCGCCCGCCGTGGACTTCTCCAGCGCATGGACCCGCCGCAGCCTTCTCCATGGGACCTACCGTGGCCTTGTCCATTGGAGCAGCGAGCGTCGCGCCACTAGCGAGCCTCTATACCGGTGAACTCCACGTGCTGACGAGCCTCCATTCCCAAGCAGCAAGAAGATGTTGTGCTGAAAGCGCATGTTGCAAACGTATGCTTGTAGTGTTTTAGATGTTTCAGAGGTATGATGTAGGTAATATTGTAAAAGTAGATCGGGATGTTGCATATGTTGCAAGTGTTTCATAGGCTTGTTGCAAGTGTTTGTTCAAAGTGTTTCATCTGTTTCAGACGTATGTGGTAAGCGTTTTGATCTGGATGTTGCATATGTTTCACACATATGTTGCAAGAGTATGTTCCAAATGTTTCCGTTGTTTCATTCTTATGTTGCAGTAAGTATTTTCATGTTGCAAGTGTTTTTATCTAGATTTTACATATGTTCCATACTATATGTTGCAAGTATATGTTTTAAATGTTCCATTTGCTTTCAGTCTTATGTTGCATTTAAGTGTTTAGTGTTTCAGAGGCATGTTCAGAGAGTCATGGGTACATGGCCCGTGCGCTGGGGGAAGGGGTGCGGCGAGCCGAGAGCCGGTAGATGGGGCGCACAGCGCGCCTGGGGTCCTGTGGACGGGGCATGCTCATCCTCATCCAGGCTTCGGGTCCCGCCCGCGCGAAGAGAGGAGGAAGGGGGCAGGGGAAGGAGTGGCGGGCGCATGCAGCCAGGGTGCGCGTGCGGGGCAGGGCGAGGCGAACGGGAGCTGGGCTAGGCAGACACGGGACGAACGTATGCGCGCAACAGCGATACAGCGCAGTGGCAAGCATGGGAGGACGGGCTAGGACAGTAGCATGCGCGGGGTGTCCGGACGCGTTCATCCACTTCTGACGTTCGGGCGCTAGGAAGTCCCTTTTCTATTCACGAATTGAGAGTGGCGGGCGGTGGCCGATATATTTAGGGATGAGTTTAGGGTAGGGCTGAAACGTACATCTAAAAATTAATATGTTTATAAACCTACTAATCAACAAATACATATGTTAATACATGACATGCCAATGAATATAGGATCAATAACTTTGTATATGTGTACATTATTTTATGACTTTATTCATGTATACTCGACCAATAAATAAAGAATTGAGTTAGAATATATTTATGACCGCAGTCTCCGGTGAAACACGGGCACCAATAGCTAGTCTATAAAATGAGACCGTTGGAACCAACAACAAAACACATTTAGGTCCTATTTAGAATCCTAGTATCTATTGCAAACCACCATAAATGGCCCTGTTCGCTGAAAGAAATTTAGAGGAATCTAGAGAAATTTGTGAGAGCGTGAACAGTAAAAACAAGTCGTAAACAGTGAATTCCGACTGGTTTTTACACCGGCCGAACGGCCCCTGCTGCTTGGAAGCCTGGTGAGCTGAATAATTTTAAATCCGGTTTGACCAAAACAAGTGGAAAGAATATATCTTCACCTCCGCTAGGCTGCTGGCTAGACTCGATAGCCGCTAAGGGCGTCCCCAACTATAATAGCCAGCTGCTGGCGATTGGGTGCCATGTCACCTTTATTATACATATCTCTCCTCCCCCATCCTTCTTATCACTTCTTCCACAAATCGCTGCCTCCCTGAATTAAAGAAAAAAAATCTGTCTAGGTAATATTTAGTTGTTTTAGCTCTTTCCAACAACTGAATTTTTGTCCATCACTTACACTGTCTTATAACTATATTTACACCGCTTTATTACTATATTTATAATGATTTCTTCAGTGTAATTTATTAGACAGAGTGATGTAATCTGGGGATAACATAATTTCTACTTCTATGAATTGCAGACCTCAAATAAATATATGCCAATTTTTTAAAAAACAATTATAAATTATTTCTATGGATTACAGATATCAGAGAAATATATATAAATTCTTCACAAATTTCAAAAAAAATACAAATTCCTCACAAATACGGCCCTTGCCTTCCCGGTTTCCGCTTGCAGGAAGGAACCGCCGTGCCTGGCCTTGGCTTGGACCTCAACATGGACCCCGACCTGCAGGGCGTGTGCAAGCGCCTCAGCTCCGTGGACGACCGGGGCGCTATACCCGGCGCCGGGAGAGAAACCGACGCCGACGGTCGGTGCGCCCGTGGCGACTTTGCTTTCCCTTGCGCCTCCGGGGCCGTGGCAATCTCAGCAAGCGCAGGAGGCGGCAGAGGATGTTGGAGCAGCTGCGTGACCACGCGTCGTTTGCGGAGTATCAGCGGCCGGTGCCAGGAGAGACGCTGACGCTGACTGTCGGCGCTCCCGTGGAGACTTGTCTTGCCCTTGCTCCTCCCGCGCAGTCGCAATATCAGCAGGCGGCAGCGGCAACGAGGATGTTGGAGCAGTCGCAATCTCAGCAAACGCAGGAGGCTCGCAGCGGCTTTGGACGGACGAGGGACGACGCAGATCGGGCGGCAGAGGCAGCACCACTATCAGATCCGACGGACACAAAATTCGGTTGATACAAAGCTTAGCCTTCCTGAAAAAAAATCGCTGCCTCCCGTGCCATAGGCGGCCGCCGCCGCTCCGACGTTGCCGGCCGCTGCTTCCTCCTACCGCGCTGTCGAACACCACGCGCTGCATTCTCCCGCGCCGCCGGTCGTCGCCGCCCTTCTTCCCGAACCCCAATCTCGAGCAGATCAGACAAGGACTCCGGGTGCTACCTCTCCGATCCGTCAATCCCTCTTGTCTTCCTCGGCCGTGCGGCCAGAAGCTGCGGGATGGAGTTGGAGACCGCGACGGCGTGGCCCTGAGTCGCCTCTCGTCCCTGCTCCAGAATCTCCCATTGGATGGTAACTGTCTCGAGTAGTCTCTCTCCGTCCCTGACGCCGCCGTTCGCCGGTGCTATCTCGAGTAGTCGAAAGCTGATTCCTGCGGCCTATCAATCATGCATCTGCTCACCATGCCGAAGGAGAGAGAGACGGAGAAGCTTCGGAGGAGGACGCATGGTGAGAGAAAGCCTTGTGCCCTTGTTTTCTGTGCGAGACTACCGGCGACCGAAAGAGTCGCTGGGCGATTTCTTTTTCTACGTTCTCTCACATCCACGCCGGCTAAAATCCTACGTCAGCTAGCGACTTTGGGAGTGTTCGGCTGGCTGGCTCCTCTTTTTTTCCAGTTAGAATAGTGGTTTTCTCCCATTATTTTCTGGCTAGTACAGTGAAAACCAGCTGCTACAATGTCCAATTAATGCCAGCCGAACTTTGGCAGCTGTTGGGGACGCGCGGCGGTGAGCACTCGTCTCACACGCCACTGACCATGAGGCCGTTTGGATCACCTCCCCCTCCACCCCCACCACCCATGCGCGTGCCCCGCCCCACGCCACTCGTGGATTTGTGTGTTGCACTGTTGCGCAGCAGAGCAAAGCATATGGAAGCACACATAGGCTGGGTTTAGTTGCCGAACTCTGGATGTGCAAAGTTGGCAAAATATACTATAGTGTTACTATAACATTTCGTTTGTATTTGGTAATAATTGTCTAACCGTTGGCTAATTAGGCTTAAAATGTTCGTCTCGCAAAGTACAACCAAACTGTGTAATTAGTTTTTAATTTCATCTACTTTTAATATTCCATACATGTACCGCAAATTTAATGTGACAGAAAATCTTCTTTTTATATAGTGTCAAAGTTAGGAGTTTGATATGAACTAAACACAGCCATAGCAGAGCGAGCAAGCACTAGATAGTAGATGACTTTTAGATTCGTTATCCTGTAATAATTAGCTGGCTAATTCTAATATTAGCTATCTAGCTAGTAGCTAACTATTAGCTAGAGGGTGTTTCAATGCATAACTAATGAAAATACTACTAAGATAACTATTAGCTGTTATTATCTGATCTAGTTTAAATAGTGAGATAGTTATTCGGCCTGTTCACTTAGTCGTAAACGATCGTAAATTTTCAGCCAGAATAATATTTTTCTCTCACACCAAACCAGCCAGCAATAATAATCCACGATCGTATACGATCGTTTCAGCCCCAGCCGAATAGGCTGATTATCTAGAGGTCCAGCTAACAATTAGCTATTTTATTAACTGCACCTATTTGTATCTATAAAAAATAACGATTAGAAAATACTAGCTATTATTTATTGGTATCAAACAGGGCTTTCAGCAGTAGTATTCTTCAGCCTGTTCGCTTGCTCGTAAATGATCGTAAATTTCCAGCCGGGAACAGTGTTTTTCTTTCACACCAAACCAGCCAGCAGTAAATAATCCACGATACGATACGGCCTCCCGAACAGGCTGCTTGTCCATAATAAATTACAAGTGAAAATGGTTTGCAATCGAGAAATAATACCGGACTGCCAAAAACCTTAGCCTAAAAAATGTATTTTATGATTTTGCCAAGCCAACAAATACTAGACTAGATAAACATAGACGGTATCACGCGCAGGCCTGCTCGGGAGTGATTTTCTACATCTGTTTCGGCTACGACTGCAAGCTGTTCTGCTATGTTTTTTTTTTTGGAGAAAAGCTGTGGAGAAAAGCTGTTCTGCTTAACTTGGTATTGGTTTTGCAGCCGCAGAAAAGCTGTACCGAGCACGCTGATTCAACCGCTCGGGGTTTCCGTTTTGACAAATTTCAACCGCTTGGCGGGAGGCAAGAGTCGATGGGTAAAGCATATAAAAGCGGGTAAAGTGGAACGCATCGGTCTCTGACGTCTCCGTCGGCGCCCCGATTCGCCTCCCTCTCCTCCTTCCCTCGCCGCCGCCTGCCCGCCCGCCCGCCCGCCCATGGATTCCCCGAGGGGCCCCGCGAGCTTCGCGACACAGGCCAACGCCCTCCTCCGAAAGAACCTCTGCGTCCAGGTACAGACAGGCACCGCTGCTCTTTCCCCTTCTACCTTTCCCCGCTCCCCTTCCAGTTAATCTATAGACGTAGCTCGGCTGGTCGCGCCTGTAAGGTGTTCGTATATTTGCCTTTCGCGGTTCTTGAGGGGCGAGAAGCAACTGTATGATCAGCAAAGTGTTGCTTGAGTCTCATGTGTCTCGATTTTTGTGAGGATCTTGTGCGGCGATTTGCGGAATTTATCTCTGGTTTGGTTGAATTGGTTCCAATCTGTTTGCACGGTGTTTTTGGTGAGCCAAGGCGGGTAGGTAGCGTTGGCGTGTTGGCCTTTTCTTCTCCTGTGAATGAAAGGGTACATCAGCATGATACAGTCCCGGTCCTAGGATTTCAAGGAGCCTCCGGCGATCTCGTCACAACGGCCCCTCTTGACCATGTATAAAATCTTATAATATATAGGCGTTAATTTTACTTACAAAACGAAAGTAAATTCAATAACATATTTTAATTTAACATGTCTGATAATTATCGAGGAACAATGTAGATTAAGCAATATATTTGTAGATGTATGATAATTATCGAGGAACAATGTAGATTAAAAAAACAATATATTCGTTTTCTTTTCTCACTCATGACAAATGTTTCTTAGGTAACATTCTAAAATTCTAACATCTAAATTAGAAGAAAAATATGACTATATGGGAACAAAGTACTAGAAGTCTGGAATATTATACAAATAATTAATTTGGATTAAAAATAAAAAGGAAAAAAATACCTTGGGCCTAAACAACTGATCGGTCATCGCAATTTATAAGAAGCCAAGAATCAAGATGTCGTCGTCGTGGAGCCCTGCCTGGTCGCCGCCCTCGTCTTGCTGTCCGTGTCTCTCAGTAGTCTAGCTCTTGGGCAGCGGCACATGCTCGCTTGACTCACGTGTGTAAGGCGCGACGTCGCGAACTCACGATCGAGTGTCTTTGTGTGCGTGGTGACTCCTCGCCTCCTCTCTACCCGAGGGCCTGGGGAAAGGAAACTAGGAAAGAAATGTCGATATTGTCTTTTTAGGCCGCCTGGCCAGTTCTATGTCTCTCTTCTCATTAGTTTGCTAACACCTAATGGACTATAGGACACAGGGGTTTGTATATACAGGCTTGGGCCCTTCCTTCGCTTGGGCCCTCGGCCGTCAGCACCTCGTGCCCTACCCGTAGGGGGTGGTGCATCAGCATGATAAATGCCCAGTGGGCAACAAAAAAGGCTACAAGTTATATTTTCTAGTTAAATTTTCGTTTTCCTTCATTCGTTGGAAGTTATCCAGTGCATTGCACACTCTGCATTTGATATAAGTTTCACAACCTGTGAATGCTTTTACACCAGCATGATAAATGCCCAGTGGGCAAGAAAAAATGCAACAAGTTATATTCTAGTTAAATTTTCATTTTCCTTCATTCGTTGAAAGTTATCCATTGAATTCCATGCTCTTGCATTTGATATGAGTTTCACAACACGTGCGTATAATATGTTTGTTTACATGAAGCAATGCCAAAGCTCATTACTACTTCCCTGAAAAATGTACGACGTCTCCATGAGCAGCACCTGATTTTATATTGGCCACATTGCAGAAACGGAACCTCAAGACAAACATCGGCATCACCTTCTTCCCGATCCTCATATGCGTGCTTCTCATAGTGCTCCAGAACGTCATCAACAGCGAGCTCGACAAGCCCAAGTACAAATGCGGTTGTGTCTGCCTCGAGACCAGTGGGGATGGAAGGTGCGCAAGAAAGGAAAGAGTGTGGCATCCAGTACTCAACGCTGGATCAGGTGGGGAGCTGCCCGATCCCCAGCCCGCCACGGTGGCCAGCCCTGATTCAGATCCCCCGTGCTGATTTCCGGGCTGTAAGGACATTCTCCCAACCATTCAATGATTTGCCTGATCCATTTTACCGTGACTCCTTGTCTTGTCCTGCAACTGTCCTTGTCACTGGGAAGGACAAAGCGGTTGCAGAAGGTATGTGCTTGAAACACACTTTGAAATGCTTACACTTTGGTGACTATGTTTGTAATCCTTGAGTAAATGTTTTCCAATTGCAGCTATATCAAGAGGGCTGTTTCCTGTCCTTTCTCCGTCTTTGAATGCAACAGATTTACTGGATCTTCTCCAAGATAGTTGCTGTGAGCTCCCTCAATGACCACCCAAGTAACCCGCCTGTAAATTTTGCTGCTTCATGTTTTGGTTTATGTGTTTATTTTCATTTTGTCCTAGGGCTCAGATACACAGCCATGGTACACACAGTTGCTAGAGCCTGCATTTTTCTCTGGCCGTACTTTGTATGTGATCCAGCCTGAGTGCTTACCTGTCATGTCACAGACCATTACATATAATACTGGGGCATACCCTTTCAGCTCAGTAAGTATAACTATCCTTCCTTAAAATGCTGAGTTGATGGTTTTGGGTTGGAAAACGTAAAATTAGTTTGCGGTCATGTAGCTTCAGTCTAGGGACCGTGAAGTTTCCATATTTGATCTTCAACTGGTACCACTATAGTATATGATGTATCTTACTCTGAAACACTGGCCCTTTTATTTGGATGATGACAGAAGCACACTAATAGTTACATGTGAGATACTTGTACAAAATCTCGTCATTATAAATATGCGCATTGCACTTTCATGTTGCCACATTGATTTCTTCGGTTTATAGTTTTAGTATGGCTAAAAAGAAACAAACAGTTAGTTGCCTGTTCAAAAATTGACACGCATTTATATATGATTATAGTTCATGCTATATGGACAATTTCTGAAGCCTGCTTGACGGCAACAGTTGAGAAATTGTTGTCTATCATTTTGAAAATTTATGCTGCAGCTTTGACGCCCTCTTGAAATGAACCAGATATACAGTGTGTTGAAGGTGTCCTGTTATGGCGTGACAGTGCATCAATTATCAACCATGAATTTTTAAAGGGTTATAGACAACGAGGAGGAGAAATAAACGAATTTATTGCAGGTTATATATCTTGATGTTACAATTTTTTTCTCTTCAAAGTTTGAAGGACTTCATATGTCAATGACAATTTGCAAAACATTTTTTGACATCCAACCGACCAATGGACCCTTGGATACTATCAATGTAATCAGTAATCTTATTGACTGCCTATCAGTTTTTGTTACAAAATGACACAAAGAAACCATTCATACACAAATGGTATTGGCATACTTTATGACCGCCTTCATTTCTGCAGGTTATGATTTCTTTGGCACAACACAGTATGTCCTCGGTGTAAATGTTTGGTACAACTCTACTTACAACGATAACAATGCATATTCATTTATCTCAACATTGCGGGTTCCACGCTTGGTGAATGCAGTATGTTGTAATCTTATCTCTGACTAATTCAGTATCTTTTGAAACATGGGTCCTGTTCTGAACTTCTGACAGCTTATGTTTTGTTTCGTACAGGTATCCAACGCTTATCTCAAGTTTATCAAAGGAGCTGGGGTAGAAATGTTACTTGAGTATGTAAAAGATATGCCCAAAGTTGGGACAAGTTTTCAGTTGGATCTGTCTTCTCTTCTCAGTGTATTATTCTTCACATGGATCATCGAACTTCTTTTCCCAGTGAGTATGATGAGATGTATTGATGTAGCATTCCGTAAGTAGGGTGGGAAATAACGCATTAACATGCTAGCAGTTAGTATCAGTAGAGCTTGCAATCTGACTATTTTTTTCTTAGGTTATGTTGACATATCTGGTGTATGAGAAGCAGCAGAAGCTAAGGATTATGATGAAAATGCATGGTCTGAAAGATGGGCCTTACTGGCTGATATCTTATTCTTATTTCCTTGCTCTATCAATCGTCTATATGTTATTCTTTATCATTTTTGGTTCCTTGATAGGTAATTGTATTACAATGTTACTAACGAATATGCTATTGTGGCAAATAAATCTTCATTGTCTTAACTAGCCTTCTTCTGTTCAGGTCTCAATTTTTTCAGAGTAAATGAATATAGCATACAAGTTGTTTTTTTCTTCATCTGTATAAATTTGCAGATTGCACTTGCATTTTTTGTGGCATCTTTCTTTTTGTCTGTCAAGATGGCCACAGGTTAGTAACTCAAACCTGTTACCTCCAAGTCAAAACTTTACCTTTTGAAAGTGACCTTGACGATTTTCATTTGGCTCCTGCTGCAGTGGTTGGCTACATGTATGTATTTGGCTCTGGCTTACTTGGTGCATTTCTTTTCCGTTTCTTTGTTGAGGACCAAACGTTTCCCTGTAAGTCGCTAGCTTAACTTTGATTTATGTCTCAGTTATATGATATTTGTTATAACTTACAAGTTTTGTCTTATCCACTCAGATGGTTGGACATTGGTCATGGAGATTGTCCCAGCATTTTCCCTCTATCGGGGCCTATATGAACTTGGTCAATATGCATTCTCGGGAAGCAGTATGGGAGCCACTGGTATGACCTGGAGAAGTCTGAAAGATCCCCTCAATAGAATGCATGATGTCATGATCATAATGAGTGTAGAATGGGCAGTGCTGCTCATATTAGCATTTTATTTAGATCAAGCCTCTTTGCTAGGTGGTGGTGTCAGAAAAAACCCTTTTTTCTGCTTCAGATGTTTACAGAAGAAACATGCACCATCATTGCATGAGCCTAGCACTGTCCAACAGGATTCCAAAGTCGTTCTCGATATGGAGAAATCTGATGTTGCTGTAGAAGTAGGTTATCCCTCACACTTTGATATTTCTTGTACTTCTCTACAGTGCATATGAATGACACTTCATTCATTGACAAATTCTATTTCAGAGAAAACTAGTTGAGCGACTTTTGATAGATCCCAATGCAAACCAAGCTATCATCTGTGATAACCTCAGGAAGGTTTATCATGGAAGGGATGGAAACCCTGACAAGCTGGCTGTTCGAGGGTTATCTCTTGTCCTTCAAAAGGGCCAGTGCTTCGGAATGCTTGGCCCAAATGGAGCTGGGAAAACATCTTTCATTAATATGGTATGGTACGATTGAAAATGGATGTTGTTCCGTTCTTTTGATTTAACGGTGCATAATGTCTTGTATCTTATAATGCGACTTGATTTTTTCCCTTAGATGATTGGACTCATTAAACCTACATCTGGTACTGCTTATGTCCATGGAATGGATATAAATATGGATATGGGTAACATATACACAAATATGGGAGTGTGCCCACAACACAAGTATTTACTCTTCTCTAGTATTAATCTGGCCAAAAGTTTTCCTTCATGGATCATATTATTTAATCATGGTAATTTGTGTTGTCTTAAATGCAGCTTGCTTTGGGAAACACTGACTGGAAAAGAACATCTTTTCTTTTATGGCAGGTTGAAGAATCTTAAAGGTGCTGCATTAGTGAAGGTACCTCCAATCCAGATACCACTATTTGAACATTATATTCACATTTTGGTTTTCAATAATTATAAAAGCTGTGTCATTTGCTCTTCGGTTTTCTCTTTGGAAATTGTTCAGCTATCTCAGAGCATGTTTTCTCTAAACTTTTCCACTGCCAGGCTGTTGACCACTCTCTGAAGAGTGTAAATCTATCTCATGGTAATGTTGGCGATAAGCAAGTGAAGAAATACAGCGGAGGCATGAAAAGAAGGCTCAGTGTGGCAATCTCATTGATTGGGGACCCTAAAGTAGTTTCCTTTTTCTTGTTTCTATAATTTTGGTCATTTCATGTAATGCTGTCCAACTCCAGATGGGTTATGCAACTTAACAAATATTCATCAGGTTGTCTTCATGGATGAGCCAAGCACAGGACTGGACCCAGCATCAAGAAATAACCTATGGAATGTTGTGAAGGAGGCCAAGAAAAACCGTGCAATTATTCTGACTAGTAATGATCCTTTCCTATCCACTCGTGTATCTAAATTCTAGAATCGTACTCCATTTATTTATTGCATCGGAAAGTAAGAAGAGTGATTAGTGAATAAGCAAGTAATTAAACTGCCAGCACACTCAATGGAAGAGGCAGAGGTATTGTGTGATAGGCTTGGCATCTTTGTTGATGGTGATTTCCAATGCCTTGGAAACCCTAAAGAGGTACATCACCTTCTTGAATCGCAAAAGTCACTCTATGTTTCAGTTCTTAAAGTCCATGTTACTTGAATGGAATGCAGCTAAAGGCTAGATATGGGGGGACATACATATTCACAGTGACAACACCCCCAGAACAAGAGATGGAGGTTGAACATCTAGTGCGTCAGTTCTCTCCCAGTGCAAACAAGATCTACCATCTATCTGGAACTCAGAAGTTCGAGCTGCCGAAGCAAGAGGTGAAAATAGCCCATGTTTTTTATGTGGTCGAGAAAGCGAAGCGCCAGCTCACAATACATGCCTGGGGATTGGTTGACACTACCTTGGAGGACGTCTTCATCAAGGTCGCCAGAGGAGCACAAGTGTTCAACGAGTTCGCGTAGATAATACCTTTAGGACTAGCTTCATAGCCAGCAAGGGACCCCAGTTATTGAATGGGAATGCATAGAGAATCTTGTGGTTTTGTAGGTATTTTCATTAGTGAGAACCATTCTTCTTTGGAAAATACGCTCCATATGCTTGGTTTACATGGTTGTACAGAAATATATTCTTTATACTGCAATTGCAGAATAGAATAATTGTCCAGTTGTTCATATTTGTTTTCATGTACAACAACAACAAAGCCTGTCAGTCCCAAATAAGTTGGGGTAGGCTAGAGTTGAAACCCACCGAAAGCCCCAAGTCACGGTTCAATATTTGTTTTCATGTTTGTGTGAAAAATTGTGGTGGTCATCTTTTACTTTGTGTGCTGTTAATACACTATATCTTCAGAGGTAACACACAAAACTCTTGGTTCTTTCAGATATTTCTTCGTCTGAACTTGAACATATGGGCTTATGTTTACTTGTATAAAAATCTGTTGGAGATTGGCATTACTTAGTCTAAAGGAAAATCGCATTCATTTCCAGAAATTTACATGAATGAAGAGACAGAGGGCCAAGGAGTCGTGGACCCACCGTTTATTTTATGTTTCTCTTCTTTTACTTTCATAAGCTGCATCTTTAGGTGGTTTTCTTTTGCTTTGTAAAGTTGCTATTGTACTCATTGGTGTGCAGTCCGTAAAATCTGTAGATAATTCACGGCAATGAGTGTTCCTGTCTTTCTGCAATCTACCTGGGGCCAATTGTCCATCAGAATCTTCTGTTCATGTGAGCGAGGAAGCTTATACTTTTTTTTTTTTTGTTCCAGCAAATATGTCACTACCTAGTGTATTGGTATATAATTAAATATAATATAATGACGAGGGTTCTCCTGCTTGTTCTTCGGAAAGCAGAAAAGAAAACCACATAGATAACCGAGCTTACCGCGGAAGCCCGGTCTTTTGTTACAAGCAGAAGCAGGTATCCAGCAAAGCGAGAGAGGTAACGAGATTAATTAGTTGGCAGCCATTGACATTTTTAAGGTTGCAACACTCAACACGGGAGATCTTGTGCCAATACACATGCGCGATCTGACCATATAAAATATTTACAGATTTAATTAAAATCCCTTGACGGCGATTGGCGGTAGATCCTCGTGTGCATGTGAGCGTTTGAAATTGTCTCTCGTACGTCTAGTATTTGCCATGGCCTCAGCTGCCTAACGGGACACACGAGTCAAACACATAAGGCGTTCATGGCGGTGCATGTGAGAGTCCATGTTACCTCGGTCAACGCAACAATAGTTGCTAGTACTATATACTATTTTAAGAAGAATTTTGCCCAAGGTCAGAGGGTATTAAGGTTACAATAAAATGGCGCAGTAGGCTGGGCTCCATCGTTCCATTGATAATAGGGATGAGACAGAGAAGCATATGTATATAGCTAGCCTACCTGCTCGTACATTGCAGATAGAGGTAGAACTTCTCCAGAGTCTTTTCTAAATTCACTTTCTAAACCATTATTTAGAGCGTAATTAAATAAAAATTGTTTCCTATATCTTTCTACCCTCCAATAGTTTCTCTAGAGCCAAGTCTCACTCTTCGTCTTTGGCTAGCGAAAAATCCATAATAGAAGATAACAATATATTGAGATCTCATTAAAAAAACTGTTAGAGGTGTTTTGTTGACCAAAATCCCTATTCCTATCACAGAGAAGGATATAAAGAAGGACTTTTGGAGTTGCTCTTAGCTTGGCTTTCAAATAAGGTTGGAAGGTGGATCTTCATCACTAGCCACCAAACATTTTCTATAATTTTAGTTGTATTGGCATATATTGACGTAGTGCCGTTACAATTTCGATAAGTTTATAACCAATGAACTATTCTGTTATTGGTTACCTAGCAATTGCACATCCGAATAATGTGGCATTCTTGTTACGTGGCTCACAACAAAAATATATTCTTCGTTGAAGAAACTAGAGTTCTGATTTCTTAGCCAAAATTAGAATTTTCTTGACAAACTAGATTTCTTAGCTAAAATTCGATGTCCAACAAGTTACCGTTTCAATAAGCTTGTAATGAATGGACTTCTGTTATTAATTCAACAATCACGCGTTATAAATGGCATGGCATCCTTGTCATGTAACTAGTGACAAGAATACATTCTTAGTTCCAGAAACTAGAGTTCTGGCAGACTAGAATTCTTTCAAATGACGATACAATCAAAACAAACAGCACCAAAATCTCTTCTTTACGGAGACCTTCATCATTGCTATCCGGCATATTTGGAAGAACTTCATATTTGACAAAGGCCGGTCTTCTTTCTCCTCTTGGAAAAACCTCTTTTGTGAAGAGGCCAAACTTCGAGCTTTTAGATGAGGGATGATAAACGTGCAACTTTTTCTCCTCTGTTTAGATCTTCTCCCTGACGTCGTCTTGGCTTTTTTTTTGCATACTATCTCCTCCCCATTGTGGCTACCTCAGCCCTCTGGCTCGATGGTTCTTTGTATACTTCCTTTTGTACAGCCTTTTTGTTTTTAATAAAATCCTACAGTAGGGGGCTTCTGTTGTATTTCCCGCTCAAAAAAGATTTCTTAGCTAAAATTGGATGTCTAACAAGTTACTATTTCAATGAGCCTATAATGAATGAACTTCCATTATCGGTTACCTAGCAATCGGGTGTTACAAATGACGTGGCATCCTTGTCGCGTGGCCAACGACAAGAATAGTTCTTACTTCCAGAAACTAGAGTTCCGACAAATTGGATTTCTTAGCCAAAATTGGATTTTCCGGTGAATTAGATATCTTAGCTAAAATTGGATGTCTAACAAGTTACCATTTCAATGAGCTTGGAATTGATTCTTCAATAAGCTCCTACATATTTGCCATCGTAAACAGTAATCCTCCTACGTTTTTACCATTTTTGCTGAGGTGGTACGCTAGATGGGCATGCCAGCGTGGCAGCGAGCTTGGAAAGGCCTACCGAGCATGCGAAATGACCTACGTACCCCTGCTGCTTCTCTCCCTCCCATCGCTGACGTGTGGGCCCCACATGTCAGCTTCGTCTTCAACCTCCCGCCATCCTGGATGAACGGGAATCCGGCGTTGCCTTCGGAGACGCGGACTCTGCCGCGTGGCTGCTTGGACATCAGGAACCCGAGAGCCGCCAGGTCCGACCTCTCCACCATCCTAGATGAACGGATGACTCAGCAGGAACCGTTGGGAATCAGAAGATAGATGATGGGCATGGATGGATGAAGAATCAATTCTTAAATAAATAAATTACATACGAGATGCAGTCGACGGGGCAGGTGTTGATGGCGTCGACAATCCTGTCCTCGTCGTCAGCTCACTGCGGGACGGCGCGGGCGCGGTCATAGACGGACTCGGGGCCGAGCCAGGAGGAGTAGAACGGGCGGGCCGTGTAGCCGGCAAACTCAGAGCGAGGCGTCTCGCTCTCGGTCGTGGGGCGCGCGTGCGGGGTCGGAGAGAGCGTAGCACACACACCTCGTTGAGGACGACGCGCCATGTCGTGCCCGCCGCGCCACGGCTACATCCATCGGTGGCGCCGCTTGCGGCCGACCGGTACACCGCCTTGATCTCCGACTGCGGCGACAACCGCTCCATGCCCAGCAGCTCGTACAAGGTCGTAGTCTGACACCCACGAGCCGCGGACGCCCCACTTTATGTTGTGTGTCGCCGCCACCACGGATGCTTTTGGCTCAAGACCGATGGCGGCGCTTGCTCACCGTCTGTGGCGGGCGGGCATGAGAGGAGCGTAGCCTTGAGGCGGCAGGGGAGACCGAGACGGTGTTGATGATAAGCGCGGACATGGCAGAGTGTGCGGTTCAGCAAGGCGTGCCGGAGGTTGAGGAGTGGCAGCAGCGAGATCATAAATTCACCCAACATCACAAACGATCAAGATTGATGAACCGGGACTGCACGAGTTCCCCCTTCCCTCTCTGCGAGGTGATGGCGGGAGGTTGAAGATGAAGCTAACATATGAGGCCCACGCGTCAGCAATTGGAGGGAGAGAAGCGTGAGGGTACATAGGTCATTTCGCATGCTATGTAGCCTTCCCAGCTCGCTGCCACGCCATGCGTTTCTATCCTCGTGTCACCTCAAAGAAAAATGACAAAAACGTATGATGATTACTTTGTTCGCGATGGCAAATATGTAGGGGGGAGAAGACAAACGGAGGAGTCAAAAAAAAAAAAAAAAAGAGAGTTAAAAATCCCTATTGACACAATCCATCCATTATTCCTTCCCCTTCGCTTCGCTTATTCCCCACCCCACTCACCCCCTCCCTTCCACACCGCCGCAGCCGCCGCCTCCGGAGAAGGGTCAGCAGTCCCACGGCGGCAGTCGTCCTTCCCCGGGAGGCGCTCCGCTCGGCTCGGCTCGGCTTCGCTCCTGCTCGGCGGCGGCGGCGTCCCCGGCTGGTGGGCTCGCGCGCGCGCACCTGGTGCTGCGCTGGGCTCCGCGAGGCGCTCCTCGTCGCGCCCGATGCGGCGGGATCGCGCTGCCGGCGCCCGGGGCGTGCCGTGAGTCGGCCCTATTCGGCGGGGAGGCTGGATCTCGGTGCGTCCGCGTGCGGGAACCAGTGAGTTTTTTTTTTCTTCTTCTTCTCTTCCCCGGCGGCTTGGGCGGCTACCGGGCGGGCCGCTTGGTGCTTGTCAGCGCGGGAGGCGGAGGCTATCCGGAGCCGATCTGGTGCTCTCGCCGCCTGGAGAGGTGGTGCTGGGGGTCATTGCAAGGTTCCCGCTTAGGAGGAGGCGGAGGAGGTAAGTGAAGTCCCTCGCCTCATGGGGCTCGCGCCGCCGGAGCTGGGCCAGTTCGACGGGTGGGAGAGCTCCGGGGAGGAGGAGCGGGAGCGGGAGCGCTGGGGCTGGTGCCGCCGCAGCCGCCGCGGCAGCAGCAGGCGCCGCGCCGCGGCCCCCAAGGGCGGCGCCGCGGCCGCCGACGCGGTCGCCACCGGCTGCTGCATCCGCCTCTGGCCCGTCGGAACGTGCCCGCCGCAGCCGCC